AGTAGTAGTACGTATACGTCGAAGAAAATGTCTGTCCAGTCGTTCGTAGATATACGGATCTTGACGATCAGGTCTCGTCCCGTCGGGGAAATAATTCAAATCCAGTCGGTCTGCATGGAATGATACTATAAGATAAATGTGTCTCCACAATTAAGTGTATGCGTTATGGATCAGGGACGAGCTGCGGGGAGAAATGAAACTGCGGTCACTTTCTTTTCCCACCGCAAGACAGGACGCCGTCGGGCAGACGACCAGGGGATGCGATTGGGGACGGAAATGCCGAAGTAGGAAAGAAGCGCAGAAAGACAGCGCATCGACGCCGTTTGTTGTTTCAGCGTACGCTTATTGGATTGGATGTGAGGCAATTATCACCGCTGTTATGTAAGCGGTGAGAGATTCATCGTTGGATACGGAGTGTATAATAATTATATTTCGATAGAGAAGATTGATCATAAAAGGTGGAGCATTGAAGGGAAAAATGAGGTGGCAGGTGGAAATTGCGGTGGCAGGGAATTTACTTACGGAGTACTCCGTATGGGCATACACACACACAGTACTGTACTCTAGTAATTTACCTGATCATGTCAATGTCATTGTACAGCATACATGCTAATCATCATATCTCTCGGTCATGTCTAAAAGATAAAATAAAATATAAAAAAAAAAACAAAGGAAACAAAGGAAATTCCCATCCAGTTACCTATACAGCAACTCACAGGAGGGTATCACCCAAGGCACTGCGTACCAACGAGCAACCAGTCCGAATGGTTTCGGAGGCGCCCACCGACTCGAGGCTGGGGTTGACCTCGACCAAGTCCATAGCCACCAGGTTGCCGGTCTCATGCACACACTCGCAGATAAAATCACCCTCACGGAGAGTCAGACCGCCACGCACGGGAGTGCCAGTACTGGGAGCCCATTGCGGATCCAGCGCATCGACGTCAAATGAAAGGTGAATGGGGGTGTCGTTACCAATGTGGGCCAGAGCCATCTCGACCACGCGACCAATACCGTACCTATCGGAAGGATCAGTTCTTTTTTCTTTCTTTCCGGTTCCGTTCTCTCTAAATACCCGAGGGAAAAGGGTGAGGACATACCGGTCAACGTCATGCATGCTGAAGGCCTTGATGCCATGCTCCCGGAGCAATTGCTTCTCGCCGCGATCGACATCTCGCAGACCAATGTAAACGAGCTTGCGAGTGCTGACGATGTGCTCATCCTGCAGCCAGCCGAAGATGTCCTTGCGCTCCTCGCGGGCCAACCGAGTCAAGAAAGCCATGGGCATACCGTGAATGTTACCACTGGGGCTCATCTCGGGAATGTTGATATCGGCGTGCGCGTCAACCCAGATCACTGCTAGTTCCCGACCCAGGCGTTCGCGGGTAGCCTTCGCCGATCCGGAGATAGATCCGATGGCGATCGAGTGGTCACCTCCGAGTGTCAAGACCATTTGACCCTGCTTGGCCTTCTCATAGACCTGTGTGCTCAGCGCTTCAGTCACGGCGCTCACGGCGCGGGGCTTCTTCATGCCGCGGTGGTCGGGGTCCTCGGTGGGGATGTGCTTCTCATAGTTGTGGACGGTGTTGTCATAGTCGAGCTTGTAGCCGAGGTCATCGCGGAGTTGATCAAGGAGACCAGCCTCGACCAAGGCCATGGGGGCGGCTTCGACACCAAGCTTGCACTGCCATGCGAAAACCCAGTCAGTCTCGATCTTGTGGTCTCTCCGCGATCGCGAGGAAGATCATCCATACCTGGCCACCATTGAAGCCAACTGCTACCACACCCAGGTGGTCGGGCTTCGACAAGAATCGTTGTGTGATGGTTGAGGGCTGAGTCATGTTGACGATCTGAATGAGTTTTTTTTTTTTTAAAAAAAAAAAAGAAAAGAAAAGAAAAGAAAAATCAAATAAGAAAAAAGAAAAAAGAAGAAAAAAAACCAAGAATTCTAGGAAGCGGAACTAAAAAGATAAGATCTAAATTTTATCTTGCACGTGGGGAACAATCTCGAATCTCTTCCGATGAGGATTTTCGGATCAGCAACAATGACGAGGCAGGGTCCCCTTTGTTCTCTTTACTTCCCACGGAAAACAGTCCAAAGGATATTGAAGTCGCAGGGAATGAACGAATTGAGAAGAAGAGACGGGAAAGGGAATTGAAGATATTTATGTAGGAGTCCTCGTGGGGCGTTTCACCCGTGGATTCCTTGGACGATCGCTAAGACCTGCTTTTAGGGATCGTGCACTTCCCCTAAGTACAGGTCCAGGAGAGATGTCCGCAACGGCGTCAGTAATCCCACTCCACCCCGAAATTTTGATTAGCAATCTATTTCTTCGGGTCGAGATAGAGGGAGGGACGCAAATCAAAAGATCTTTGATCTTACAGGTGAAGTAGAATGACGGGTATCCTGATAACTATCGACCGAATCTTATCTATAGACTAACTACTATACATTCCGTGAACATTGGATCCGTGAGGAATATCTGCTACGGGGATTCCTTGAAAATAAGTTCCCGGAGAATGGCGTCTGCTTTGGGCGCTTCCACTCGACCCTTTTCACCCATGCGCATCATCTGTCCGACAAACCAGCCCAGTTTACCGAACTGGTTCTTCGTCCGAATCTGCTCCACCATTTGCGGGTTCTGGCTGATCGCTGCTTCGGCCAACGCAGTGTATTCCTCTCGAGAGAGGGGGCGAAGAAGTAAACTCTCCTCTTCCAGTAACTGAGGAATCGCCCGAGAGTCTCCGTCAAACACCATGGCTAGCACCTGCTTCGCGGTAGGGCCGGTGATCCGCTTTCGTTGAAGGTGATCAATGATCTGGGCCATAGATGAGGCAGGAACTCGTTCTGCATCCCAGGGAAGGTCCGCCTTAGTTAATAACCCCCCCAGCTCGTGAAGAACCCAGTTGCCTGCCACGCGCCCAAGGCCCCCACGACTCTTAGGATCTTGGTCTTGCTGCAGATCGCGCAGGATGTCCACCACGTCCTGGTAGTACTCCAAACGAGCTCCGTCCTCCAGCTCAACCAGTGGTTTAGCGTCGTCGATCGAGAGCCCATATTCTTTACCCGTCAGCAGCCCAATCAACTTGTCCGAAGATGTCGGCAGTGTCTTGGCCAACTCCGACACGAGATCAGCCCCAATTATTAGCGGTGGGAGATCCGGATCCGGCATGTACCGATAATCCACTTCGCCTTCTTTGCCTCGAAGTTTCCGTGTTTCGGTGCTTCCAATCGTCCAGCCACGGGTCTCACCCTCCACGACACCGCCACTTTCCAGAATAGCAATCTGCCGATTCTTTTCGGCAATAATGGCATCCTCGACAGCCTTGAAGCTGCTAAGATTCTTGATCTCTGTGCGCTGACCGAGGCCACCGATTCCGCCATACTGATGCGCGCTTGCGGTATCCCCTCGCTGACGGATGGAGACATTCACATCGGCTCGGAGGCCTCCCAATTCCATACCAGTGGTCACTGCGCTGCAGGATTGAAGGATTGCTTGGATCTTCCGGACGCAGGCTGCAGCTGTGGCGGGCGTGTGGATCTGAGGCATCGTGATGATCTCGATGAGGGGATGGGATACGCGATTGAAATCAAGAAGCTGCGTTGAGGGGGGGTATTCCTGAGATTTGGCGGTGTCCTGTTCCAGTTGGACCTGCTTGATACCAATGCGAACATGATCTCCATCTTCTGGCGCGACACCATCGTGGCCGAACAGATCTACATGGCCGTTTCTCGCAAAAGGTTCTGCGAGGGTTAACCAATGGTCCGGACACCGGAGCAAACATATCTTTACCGTAGTATTGTGTAATCTGATATCCGGCAGGCTGATCCTGATAGAAGTAATGTTTCCGATCGAATCGGCTAACAGGTTGAATATCACAGTTCAAAGCGATTGCGGCGCGGAGGGCAGGTAGCAGTGTCGGGACTTGGAATTCCTAGAACAGTTCAGCCTCCACGGATTATCAGTAAGCCGTTCTCGTAGACTGACTGGCTGGCTTCCCGGAAAAGCGAGGTCGAAGAGAGCAATATTGGCATTGGGGAGGTCGGTGGAAGATGTTGGAGCACCTGGTCAAGCGGAGGTCAGATTCATGAGACAATTTGCGGGTTGAAGAAAAGGGGCGTGAACCCACGTGAGAATAACTTATGCTTGGTATTTAGCTGCGCATGGATCTCAATTCCTACCGTCAGCTCCCATTTCTGCCGAGAAGCCTCTTCGTCCTCTCTTCTCTGACGCTTCTCGGCTTTTAAGGCCTTGGCATTTTGTTTGAGCTGTTTTCTGAGTGGTACGCGCTCCTGCGACTCTGTAGTTGAAGTTTGTAGGTATCGACCCGATTGTGAGAGTGTGGATGAGAGGGAGTTGTACGTAGAGCTATAAGGCTGGCGGCATTGGGGACAAGTGAGAGCGCGGGCTGCTCGGGAGGATTGGCGCAACCATGGGCGGAGCATGTCACATGTGGGAGAGGAAGGGGGGGTTTTATTCGATATTATCTAAATAGACGGGATAGGTAGATGTTCAAGTGGACATTGGGACAATCAACTGAGAGGAGGGAAGTTTGAAGTGACACTGGGAAAGGCGGGAATTGCCTACTCAAAGTAAAAAGATATAGAGCACGGGACAAAAAAAAGAAGGCCCGAACCGCGGATTGAACGCGGGACCTCTCGCATATTGGCGCTGTGCAGCCCAAAGCGAGAATCATACCACTAGACCATCCGGGCGATGGTAAAATTTGTCTGCTTATATGATATAAGATCCTGGACGAGAGATGATCGTAGAATATTAGTAGTAGTGTCTAATAAACAGCATTTCAATCCCTGACAGCGAGATGTCATGTCTTGATGACTTGTATGAGTAAAATTACCCTGATGGAACTATGAACTACTAGATATAAAATTGATATCGTACTCTGTACGGAGTAGATTCTATGCCACATGAGAAGAATTGACAAAAATGGATAATTCTGCTGAACTGTGACTGTGAAAAAGAGGAAGTTATATCATCGAAGCCCGGATGGTCTAGTGGTATGATTCTCGCTTTGGGCTGCACAGCGCCAATCTGCGAGAGGCCCCGCGTTCAAACCGCGGTTCGGGCCTTCTTTTTTGCCCCGTTCATACTTTTTCTAGTATGCATGCACATCAATACTTTAACTGTTAGTATGCGGACGGAGTAAAGGAATAGGAAATCTTTTCCCAGTCCCAACTTCACGTCTCAACTTCAAGTCCCAACTTGAATTCCCAACGTATGAACATACATATGTGCATACACTACTCCGTACATACAGTACAGCACAGCTTACTCTGACTTACATCTCTAATGCTTCGCATTCACTGCCCCGCCCAATGCAGTGTAGCCAACACATACTAACAAATGGGATTCATTGGCCTGCAGGTATGACGACGACATACTTGAGGATTTTTATCTTCTATAATACACCCATGACACCTCCCACCTTCATAAATCTTTCTCTCGTTGTTTTCTCATGAAGACCAGGGAACAGAAGAGTACGAAAGCAGAAGAGCTTCATCCCAAGAGCCCAACACTTTTGATTCGCCTTTCAAGTTATATATATACTTTAGACCTGTCGCACCATAAAAGCCGATTGTTTGAGATTTATATTTCCAACGGTTACTGAATACCGTCATAACCCTCGCCCACAAGCAAGGGCTTCATCCTGTTGGTATGTATATATGCTCTCTCTCTCTCTCTTTTTTTTGTGTGTGTGTGTCTGCGAGTACATTCTATCCTACATTCCTCTCAAAAGTGACATCCAACAACAGACTCCACGCCGCTCCTCCAGTAGAGTGACCCTTTCCTCTCCCTTGATATGTCTTCCAGCCTGTTGGCCCTTCCACACAACTTCTTTGGACTGTGCCTGTCCTCATGACTTTATCTTGTCAAATCGGTACAGGGCATGGCCTTTAAATGAAATCTCTTCACGTGGTTTTAAACAAATATTTCGATCCTCCGAGTCTGAATCACAATGCCGCTCTACTCTGGGTCTAAGCAGGCCAAGAGAGCATCTAAAGACGGCGGAAATAGAGCGTCAACAGCGTCCGTCGTATCCGGGAAGTCCCATTCTAGTCTGAAAAGTTCAACAGCTTCAGCGGAGAGTACCAAGAAAGGGAGTTTGCCGGGACAGCCCGCTGGATCAAAGGGCAACGGATCAAGCTCCAAGAAGGCGCAGAAAACCCAGGCGGCGATAGATCCTAAGTTGAAAATGACAGAACCGGAGAGGAAAATTCCGAATGTGTTCGAATACCTTGAACCAGACTCCGACTCCGACTCCGACTCCGATAATTCCTCAGTGGAGGATGATGACGCTTCTAATCGTACCCCAAGTATGTCCAACGTTCCATTCAAGATCCCACATGCTAGACTTGCACGCCAGGCGAACTTGATAGTACAAGGGACAAGCGCTCCAAGCCGAACATCATCTGTCAGATCGAAAGAGTCCATGGATTCCCACCATGCGCCCGATATACTAGAACTGTCTACTGGAAATAACAAGCCTCGCCGGAAAATGTCTATGGAAGGTTACTTGACCGAGGAGTCCAAGAACTCCGATAAACACAATTTCTACAATCCACCCCAATATCCTACAGCACTTCATCAGCCTCCCCTTCCCCCATCTCCGCCACGGAGCCCGGAGGATCTCCACTGCATCGATAGGAAGCCCAGACGGAACGCAAACTCAGAACCCATTCCTTCCGGTTATGGGCTTCTCACCTGGCGGCTGAGCTCGTCAGCGGACAGGGAAGAGCCTAGTCTCCCCCCACTATATCGTCGATTCGAAGATCTAAACCACCGCGTGCTCCTCTATCTCCAGGACGAGATCGCACACATGGAAGAGGATTTGCGTGTATTAGACGAATATGAAGAAATGCATCGCGTAGCAATGGCAGAACAAGAAGGAGCAGACGTTGTACCCGCTTCAAGGCGCATGGATGCCCAAGCGCAGGTATACTCATCCCTGCATTACCGACGAGAAGAAGTAATGGCGGCGTTAGTCCACAAAACCGAGCAATACAGTGAGTATCACCAGACCGATGAGAACTGCCATCACAAAGCTAAGCAAACAAGACAATGCCCTCAGCGCATATAGCAAAGTCCTGCAAACCCTCCCCAGCGCCTCGCATAAAGACATCGACAGGTACCGCACCTGGATGAAAGAAAATTCCCCCGTCGCCTTAGCCGAAACCCGTTTCCTTGACCACGACAAAGACCTCATCTCCCTCACCTCGCGGGCCACATCCGATCCTCCCTCTCCCTGCTCAGCCATCATCATTGCTTCCGCTGCCATCCTCCTTCCTCTTCTGGCGTTTAGCATGATTTCCGAGTTCTCGGGACGTCTCCTCGTCGTCGCCGTCGTAGGCGGCGCTGCATCTGCGATTGCATCCAACTCTCGAACTTGTACCGAACAGCTCGGCGCTTCCCAAGATGGATGGAGAATCGCTACATTGTATGTTCCTGACCCAGTGTCTCCTATCCTCAACCAACAACCTAACCTTTGACTTTCTGCAGATACTTTGGTTTCATGGCGATAGTCGCCATGTTTATTCCATGATTTAGCGGCTACGAACACATAAACAGTGATTGCATAACGAGTCACGAGTTTCCTTGACATAGCTTTTTTATTTTTTATTTTTTTTTGGGTTTCCATTATTTATGCTGACCCAAATACCATTCATGTTCTGTGGAAGGGAGACTGGCCAAAAGGAGGCGCTTAGGAATTTAGTCTGAATAGATAACTGTGGTTTCATTCCGTAGCAGCTTACTCCATAGAGGAATAAAGCACTTAACGAAGAAGCTCCAGAGAAGCCAATGCATAACATTTCTAGGTGAAAAATGTGTACCACTAAAGTAATTGAGACACTCCATCCACCAAGACCAATCTTGGAATCAATCCGCGCCATTCGCTGATCTTCACCTCGGAAGGAGATGGTAATCTTAAAAAGGATAAGTGAAAAAAAAAGAAAAAGAAAAAGAAAAAATAAAATAAAAGAAAATACAATAAAAATAAATAGAAGAAAAAACACGGACAAATCGACGCAAGTGCACCCCAACTTCATTGTTGTAGAGATACTGATCTGATATAGGTGTAATTCAGAAGAGAAGCCAACGCTTCTCTTCCTTTTCTCATCCTCGAATCTAATGGCCCATAGTTCTGGGAAAACAGGGAATATAATGGATGAGGAAGAGATGAGAGAAAAAGAAAAGGAGCAAGCTACAAAAGGTCAATACAAATCATAACAGTGTAATACCATTAACCGAGCCTTCCTTTTCTAAAAGACAAGGGTGAATCGTAAGCAGGGAAAGACAACTCTGAGAATTCGACTATAATCGCTCGAATTATGAAAGGACCAGATTTCCGTTCTGTTTGTTACCGGGCGTTACACTTCGATCCTGAGAACCGCCTTCAGTGGTGGGTTGTGGAGTGGAACTCTGTCGGGGATGAGCCGCAAGTTGGGTCCTGTTCCTCTCCATCAGTGCGGCTTGTTCGGCGGCACTCCGTGCGTAAGTCATGGCGGCCGCTGAATTAGAATAAGTCCCTGATGATTGAGGAGCTTGACCAGAAGGATAATTGCCGTACGGGGGAGGTTGTGGTGGCTGTTGTGATTGTGGTTGTAATGGCTGCTGCTGCTGTTGCGGTACGAACCGTGGTTGAGGGTTATTAGATCCCGGCGTCATGTACGGCGTTCGTGGTGCTGCATAAGATACTTGCTTTTGAGGAGAGGCACTGCGCCCAGCTGTGTACGAGGCGTTGTATGGCCCTGGTTGTCCGGGTCGCGGCGTGTATGGTTGCGGCGAAGCTTGAGTAGCCGGGCCTTGCTGGGCCGAGTAAGAAGCAGCGTAACCGTTTTGTCCTGGTCGTTGAAACTGCTGATTGTATTGAGGGGTGGGCTGGGAGTATCCTGGAAGATATCCGGGCCGTTGTGAAGGCGTTGTCGGGGGTCGTGCTCCTGCATATTGTTGTGGGTGACCTGGGGTGTACGGCCCCGATGTTGAGGGCTGTCTTCCACCATAGTATGACTGTTGAGGGAAGCTGCCTTGTGGCTGGACTCGAGAGCTAGAGCCATACGCTCGCGCATTGTACCGCGACGGCGTTGAAGTTCGATTAGCAGCACTAGCCATTGGGGCCATGGCTGCGCTCCGCTCCTGCTGCACCGTGAAATCGTCTTTCTCCATGGTTCCATGGTAGTCTGGGTTCTCAATCACAATTTTCTGGGTTATGTTCAGCTCATCCAGCTGATCGCCGTTTAATTTTGCAACCGCATACGGCGGTAGATTGGAAATAAGAGTTGCCAGACTTGATCTCAGAGTTTCATATACACCTAGCTCTTCTGCAGAAGGAGTTTCTGGGTTGCTTGACTCAGGCCCGATTTCATTAGCCTCGCCGATCGAGACCGAGGCGTCGAGATTGCGGATTTTCTGATATGAACTCAGAGTTTCCAGAAGATCAGAGACGTCGCGCAATAAATCATCCACATCCTGCAGCTCTGTCTCGTCCCCATTTTTTGCTTTGGAGGTTTCGGAATGAGAAACACCATCCGCGAAATCCTCGGGCTTGAAGTTCTTCACCATCTCCTCCAAAGTACTTTCATCTAGTTCCCCGATATTGCCAGGTCGTTCTGACAGTGTTTCCTCAACGACTTCACGATAGGGTAATGAGAGCAGAGTCTCCAAGCGTTTTGCGCCTCGTTTGCCCCACCATACCAAATCCTTCGAGTCGGCCTGAACAACGGCCCCAGAACTGTCGAATGAAGGAGCAAACGAAGAGTACACACCCTGCAAGGCAGCTGAGTCTTCGTCAGCCCACAGAGAAGGGTCATCAGTAAACTTCTCGTCATTGTACTGCAGAGAGGCTTGATGCTTATCGCGACGGTTCCAATAGGACGGGGAAGAGGTGACTCCACCATACTGGAGCCACTGACCAGAAGGTAGAAGTGCAAGGCAGTAATTATTCCGATCCCCTCGGAAAGACTTAAAGTCCGTGATGGCCTCAAAGGGATCAAGCCAGCCATTAAGAGCACTTCGAGAGGAAGACCTTGCTTTGCGCGGTGCTTCCAGTTGAGGCAAGGTTGAACGAGGAGC